TCTTATGGAGATTTGCGTTGCATACCTTGCTTCATCTTTTATTTTTATTTCTCAGTTATTTTTATTTGTTCTTTCGATTGCGTTAGTCGAATTTTCGACAACAACTTGTACATACCATACAGTTCCTATTTATCCATTAAAATAAGGCTTTGTCTGGTACAGATTCCCTGTTTTTGCAAAATTGATTTTCAGGCCGTTTTTGTTGACTTTCTCTCACAGGGTGTCAAGTCATTTAATTGAAATTGGAACCGTTGAAGCAAAAAAGGTCAAAAAAATGATTTTAATCCCAATTTAATCACACACAGACAAGGCTTAAATCAATTAATTGATTAACTCAGGCTTCACCCGGAAAATGCAATTTGTACAATCGAGATTGACAACCTCAGTTGACAATCACTCACATATGAGGGGGTCCACCTCGATTTAAAAATGTTAAATAAACAGAGGTGGACCCCCCATGTGAGTGGCTGTCAACCGAGATTCTCAATCTCAGTTGTACAACTAGCATGGTCCGGCTTCACCCATCTACCTGCCATTTTCTTGGAGCTGTAAAGAATGTAAAAGATTACCCTCTTTTGTCACACACAAGAAAAAAAACAAGAGGGTTCCTCCAAGAGAAATGCAAGATGAATTTCCATAAAAAGAAGATATATATGTTGTATTTAAACATTGAATCGAAACCCAAGAATTGTGGAAGTTTTGTGTACAAAAATTGGGACAAATTATTTGCCATTGATATTAACTGTGGTGGTACCCGAAAAATGGGGATTTTGGCATTGAAGTTAGAAGGTTGAGAGAGATTGAAGTGATAATGCATTTCATCTATTTCAAATCTATCAAAAGTTAGTGTCGTAAAATATTTTCTAAATTAAGTCCCTACAACAAGTAACGAACGATCCTTATTCAATCTAGTCAATTATAGGATTATGAAGTTGCTTCGGACTGTGAAAACCTTATATTCAAGGCTTTAAAGTTTCAAATATTTTTCAGTTGAGAAATAGATATGATTGACATTATACGGACTACACAATTATCAAAAGGCTCTCTAGACTAGGATTGATTCGTTTGTTCGTTTCGATACGCAAATCAAGTGACCGAATTTAAGATAATTTCTCGTGATCCAATTACCAAGTGGAATTTATTAAAATAATCAAATAAAACCAAGTGGAATTTATTAAAACTAATGTGGTGATTCCTGAAGGGGGAGCCATGTGAAGCATGACTCTCTCTTTCTTTCTTTTTTCCTTTTTTTTTTTTTTTATGTTGTTTTCCATCATTTAAAAAGTAATTTATAGTAGGTATAATAATAAGTTTTTCAAATCTGTTTTCAAATTTGAAGAATCATCTCTACAAATAAAAATCTCGTATTTTTTTCGTATAAGACCTAAAGAGCACTACAATAATCAAGTAAACGTAACGAATAAACTTGAGATAACAAGATTTGAAGAGCTCGACAATAATAAAATCTAAACACGAGATATTGTAGTTTTTAGAATTTATTAAATTATCTTTTATAGTTAAAAAAAAAAAAGTGAAGATCCAAGGGGAAAGCCAAACTGTCAACTTCACGTGCAATGTTTGGCATTATGTTCCTTGGCCGTCCTACATTTATATTTATTTATAGGAAGCAACAAATTTTATAGGATTCTCCTACTAATGAATTAATTCATTACAAAAATAGAAGAATTTTTTTTAGTATTGTCGTAGCATGAAATTTAGTACCCTATATCTCATTTACGTTCGAGTCTCAATTAAATATTGAATTCTCACTATTTATTTAATATACATGTCAGTTCAACAACAACAATGAGCACTGAGTTACACTTCGAAGGTTCAAATTTTCCCCAAAATTAGAGACAACAAATATA